GTAGACTGTGTTGGAGAAAACCAGTCCAGATATTATTGAGTCACCCCTCTGTTGAAAAGAAAATTGGTCAGTTCTCTGTCAAACCGCCAATTTTTTTTTACTTTTCAAACATTTTGCCTTCTGTTTTCGAAGAAGACCAAAAAAATGCAGATAAAATTTTTCGGTTTTAAGCTGTTTGTTTGATGATTGTTTGTGAATCTGTTTTAGTTTCAAGAATTATAAAAAAAATGACATTGCGTTAATCAAATTGTCGAAGAAAGTCAGCTCCAAACTCAAAATCAAAATTTGCCAGAAAGACTATTACAAATCAGATAAATACAGTCTAATTGTGGCTGGCCTCGGTCGCAATTCACCAAAAAGTCATGCGAAGTACCTTCAAGAAGGTTTTGTAAAAGAAACCAAAGGAAGTTGCATGTTCGAACTTGACAAGAAGACTCAAGTTTGTACAAATCCTTATAAGAAGACCATGAGCAAAGCGTGCAAGGGTGATAGTGGTGGACCTCTATTTGGCAGCAAAAAAATCTAGAGGGAAGTTTTATGATGCGCATTGCTTGTATGGACTTGTGAGCCATGGACGTGGTAGTGGTTGCAAAAAAGGAGGGTCAACTATGTTCACAAGGGTTTCGGGGTACAAGAAGTGGATCGCAAAAAATTAGCGGCGTGAAGTAACGCTCACTAATAACCAAATGCCAACAAATAACAGAAACTAAGAAACTTTGGTTGACAAAATTACATTTAAAAAATTTTCAAAGAAGGAGCAAATCGCATCTTGTAGTAACAAGAAGAAAAAATTGAAACCCAAAATTAATAAAAAGAGCAAACTAACAGTTTCCGAAAAAGTTTTATGCAAAGGCTCATTTCACAGGCAAAACTATTACACAAGGTCAAGATAATTTAAAGGAAATTAGTTAGTTTAAGCTGAACTTCTGTATGCTATAAAACTGAGTTTTTTTAACAGAAATTTTTTCGATAAATGATTGGCTAGCTGTGTGACATTCTATTTTGCTCCATCTCAAAATTTTAAAGTTACTCTACATAACTCTAACCGACAGCATTTCAACCTACGATTGAAAACGTACCATATTTCAATTTTATGGTTTAAGGGCTTGAAAATGTTAAGTATCGATACCGAAGATTTTTTTCATAAATTTATTAGTCCGCATGCTAGTTTTGGCATAAATTGAAAAATCAGAACAATGAATTACAAGAAAAAAAGTTGCATGTGAAGAAAAAGGAAAAACCATGATAATGGATTAGCTAAGTATAACATGTTAGACAAAATTAAAACAGTACAAGACTACTCGTATCAGGGCGAAGCCCTGAATGTTCCGACTGCCTTTTAAGGTTTTATGGAGCATTAATAACATTAAAAAATTAAATGTAAGAAAAAATAAAATGAAATTTTTTTTTCTGAAATTTGAATTTTTTTTGTGAAAATCATCACCCCACACGTCATACAAAGTATAAAATGATAGATTTCGCTGCGTGTAACAAATCAATTATGGCAAATAAGCTTCTTTCAACCAGTTTGGAACGATTTTAAGACGGATTAATTCTCCGCTCACGCGTTAATAGCGAGAAATATATATCGCGCGTTAATTGTCCCAAATTGGCCAAAATGGCAACCTTTAAACCCCCGTAACTTTACGAATAATGATCACAGGTGAAATATCTTTTCAAATTTGAGCTCAGGACAACAATACCTTTCGAATGATATCAAAAAAATTCCGTCAAAAATGGTTAGTTAAAAAGTCGAAATTTGTCTGAAGAAAAAAAAACCCACCCCGAGCACAAATATTCCGTTACTTTTGTATCGAAAGTCGGAACAATAAGGTCTAATAAATTTGATCCGTTCAGCCATCAGAAATTTGCAAATTGTTCAGTAGCATTCAATCAACTGCTAAATACAGCCTTTTGGCTGCTTAAGAATGAGTTTTAATTGTTGAAAAAACAATAACCAAAGTTGTTTTGTGTCAACTAAGCAAGGATTGTGAAGCAAATTTTGGCTGAGAAGATAATTGAATAGCTAAGACTAACCTTAAAGACAAATTAATAAAAGGTATTTGAAATTTAATCCATTCAGCTATCAAAAAATTGCAAAGCTCTTAGAAGCATTCAATCCATTCCATCAACTGCTTAACACGCCCGTTTGACTGCTGAATTTTGATTGTTGAAAGAAAAATAATTTATTGTTTTTAGGTCAACAAAGTAAGGGTTTCAAATCGAAATTATAATGGAATTGCTTAAACTAATATTCAGGACAAATAGTATACGTTATAATAATTTAGGTTTTCTGTTGCTAGTTATTTTTTGATTCAATTGGGGCTTTTTTCGTTCTGCCGCAATATTTCAGATCAATTTAGTTTTCTACAGACAAACTAAAAATTTGTGTTAGTCTTTGTTCAAACGGAATTTTTACGCTCCCGTTAGTTCTTTCTCAAATAAACTTCATTGTTTAACTGGGGGTTTTGACAGAAAATGTTTATAAAATCTTATAGTTGTTTGTAACTTGAACTTAACATAATTAAACGTTCCATCTGTTTTGGTTATCCGCAAAATTATTTGGGTTTAGTAATTAACGACTGATAAGTTTCTTCTATAAAGTTTAGGCAGTAAAGTAATCCGGCTCAGAAATTGATCGAGGCAGGCTATTTCGTCGAACTGGTACGTTACTATATGCAAAACAAGTCCTTTTGCATTTTAAGCAACGTGCCAAAGATGATTTTCAATAAAAACAGGGGGGAAGTTTTGCAAAAATATTTAAGAAAATGTCGTTTTTTTCAAAATCAAAACTACTCCATAGACGTTAAAGCGCAGTCGAAATGTTCAAGACTTTGCTTCGATATGAGTGAACTTGCTTTTTTTGTTTGTGTTCTGAAGAAATGGCACAAGGTGTGTTGTGTTTTTTGAATTTTGACTATGTCAAAGAAAGTTCGAATCAAGTAAAATCTCATTGGTTATAATTCGGCTGCTAAAAATTATTTTAAAGGTTTTTTGTCGCAAGAAAACCTGAACTTTTCCGCCTTTCAGACTTTATTACACAGTATTAAACTGAGAGACCACTTTACACAGCGCAATACTATGTTTGTTTTGAGAATTTTTCGTCTAGTGTTGAAAAGGTAAATTATTTGACAATTTCTTGATTTTGAAAACGGCAAATATATATATATAAACCAGGATGCTGATAAACGTATACTTTTCATTGGGCACGGATTCGTCAGCTGGATGAAAGAAAATGTGGTTTTTCAAAACGCGAAAATTAATTAAAAGGTTTTCAGATGCAGTAACATCATCCTATTTTGTCAATTATTTCTGAGATGTAAAAAAAAGTTGGTTCACGGCAAAAAAAACGACAGCTGTGAAGACGACTACTGCTTTTAATGGGACTTTTCGCTAACTTTCTACTTTTAATAGTTAGCGTTGAATATCTATAATTTTGTTTCTGTCATACATAAAAACATGGCCGGCAGACAGTTGGAAACAAATCAACCAACACAAGTTTAATAATAAAATGTGATTGATTTTTCTAGAACATTTTTCAGATATCAAGTTTTGGCAAAAAGTCAATGCGTTAAGTCTCCTCGATTTGCTTCCCCATTCCTCCAGTCTCTTAAGTAGACCTTTTTTTCATAAAATTATTGAATGATTCAACATGTATTTTTTTAATCTGCTAGAAATAATTGAGATTGATGTTCTTTTTTGAAGCTAGAAATAATTTGTGCTTATTGCGCCATTTGCACATTCGTCATGGGAGATGTTTATATGTCTTTTCTTCAACAATTGACTTTGACTTGAGTAAGTGGTAAATCATTTTTCGCAACTTTTAACAAAAGACACTACACAAAATTATAATTTCAATTGGCAAGAGATACAAGAACTTTTTTTATTGATTTTTCATTTATAAACTCATATAATGTTTCAGAGAATGATGCGCTTGTAAATAGGCACTAGCGGCGCATTTGTAAAAGTAGAACAAGTAAAACGAACAGCCGAATGAAACTATCAGAGTCGTCTGGGACAATCCGAGAAATCCCATTAGCCGAGAAGGGTTTTCGAACTCGATCAAGTTGAACAAACACATGAGCTGCAGAAGTAAGACCATGACAGCTGTGATTGAAGACATGATTGCAAACATCAGCTGGATTTTCTTTTTCGCAATTGCTTTTGCTGCAAGAATTGCGAAGGTTTTTGCCGAAGTTTCTAACAGCCCTTTGCCGTGGTTATTTATTGCTGATTTCTCGTCGTTCGCCAATTGCGATTTCTTTTTGATGTCTCCACTTCCGTTTTCGGCTACTGTTTCTGTCACCCACTGAAAAAACGTAATTGTACCAATTCAAATAGCTGAACAAACAATAACTTCCCCTAAAGAAACAGTGGCGGCCACAATCAGGCCTGTCAAAAGCTTGCGCGACAATAAAAAAAATTTCGCCAATGACCCTTTTGAATGATTAATTGGGTCACAACTTGAGCGGGGGGGAACCTCGACTTTGGGGCGCATTTTCAATTTTCAAACCCGCTTTGCTCACATTGAACAGCTTACAAAACTTGATGCGACTGACAAACTTTTAATACGCGTTTAACCCCCCCCCCCCCTCCCCTCGGTTTTCCCAAGACGGTTAGTTTAGAAACCAAAAATAGGAAGGGGTTTGGTTTGGTTTTTTGAAGATAGTGTAACTCACTGATAACTGAGCATCTACTCCCTCGTGGTCCGAGAAAGGCATCCGACTCTGGGATCCCAGCAGACCCCAAGGTCTGGTTCGTGTCCAGTCGCACTTCAATTGGGACACAGAACCAGAAGTATTCTTCCAATCTGCTTTTCTGTCTCCGTCTCTGCCGGCTGAGTAGAGAATATAGTCTATTCTGGCCCCGTTCGGGTAGAAGTTGAAGTAGCCTCGTTCTACTAAGTTATTGTCCTGCAAAAACTACTAGTCAAAATAGACAGATCGAAAATTTTCTCGAGGGGAGGAGAGTTGAATTTTGCGAAGTTCTCCCAAAATATTGGAAAGACCTTATTTAGACAAAATTTTCTGCGCCACAGCCATAATTCACTTAGAAAAAAAAAACGGCAAAACATGACATTTTTACCCACTTGTTTGACTTAACTTAAATACTTCACTGGGATATTGTATGAAACCAAATGTTAAATGTTTTAGAAAGTTCTTCATGTCTTAACAATCACTATTTCTTGAGTAGGTTATTATATTTTGGTATTTGTGCATTGGATGATCGTGGTTATTGTTTTCAAATTTTTTGTTTTTTTTCCAGGTTTTTCTCCAACACTCAAATTAAAGTCTTAATGGAAGAAAAAGCTTGGAGCTGAAAAAGAATGCTCCAATTTTCATCCGAGTGTATCATTTATGAACGGGAAAACAGTTTTCGCGGAAAGAAATTATTCTAAAGATGGTTAATACTTGACAACCATGGCTACCAGGTTGTCGGTATAATGGTACTAAGCTCAAGAAACATTAGCAAAACATTTTAAACCTTATATATTTAGAATTTAACGCAGAAGCTTCATTTTTCTTGGTTTGTCTTAGAAGTGGGCCTCAGGTTTTCTTGAAAAGAAACCTGTTTATTTTCTAAAAAACAAAGTGTGACCATGCTAAACTGATGATTAAAATGGGCTCAAAAAAAAAAATTCTTGCCATTAAATTCACCACCGGCAGCTCGAATAACTTAAATTCCAGAACCAATGATTGTTATTTTTTTGCTTTTACAATAGTATACCTGGCGAGCATATGTAACTCCATTTGTATCCTTATTGGGCACAAAATCCTCAGTGCAGTTCCCAAGAGCAGTTGAGTGACAGTCCCTGACCCCTGCAATGTGTCTCAACAACTGCATGCCTTCGAAGGAGGGACGGGCATTGAAGTCCCCGCAGAGAATTATGACGTCACTATTTCTGCTGCAGTAGTTGGCCAGTTGTGCAATATCCCACAGCTGCACAAGTCGGATCTCATCTGCACCGAATGTTTAAACTTTTTAAATTACGTCAGCGAGAACCAAGACACACATGAATCGTGTTGGTAATTTTGACATTACAAAAAACAAAATGTTGAAAATTGCATTTTTCAATGATTGTTGAAGAAATTATCCTTGCAAACTTATCGACCCATTAGTCTAAAGTTTTTAACGAGTGAGGTTTTTGAGAGAATACTCCAACAGCAAAATAAAGAGTTAAAATAAGAGTAATGAAATCTTTATTTCGCAAAACCGTTGAATAATAACAGCCAACAGACAATAGAAAAGTGCCAATGAATTCAAAAAGACTAGAAAACAAAAAAATTGACATTTTTAAACATAGCCAATTGAAGATTGGAAACGAGTAATGATTGCAAGTAAACATAAAAAAAACACAGACTTCTTGAAAAAATCACAACTTTCAGATTTCAAGGAAAAAAATAGATGCCTTTTAAGCTCTTTGAATTTCTAGAGCAATTTATGATTGGCGCTTTTTTGATAACATGAATCCAACTTGAGAAAACTGGATCAATAGGTAAAGTTTTTATTCCGCCGGAAACTTAAAAATTGAATTCCCATTTCGAAACTTGCGTTTTTTACGCCATTTCCACGTTCGTATTTGCAGAGTGATTTTTACGTAACTTTCAGCAGATGAATTTAAATTGAACTCAAAAACTTCTTAGTACCTTAGTGCACTCATAAATTCATTAATGTAGTTATCAGAGCCTTTTAAGACTGTTTCCAAAAAAAAACAAAAAAAATCACTACGTCTTATATAAGAGTCTTCACTACGCTCAATACTTTTAAAAAAACTCTGGTTTTAAAAGATAGTTTCCAAAAATTCCTAAATTTAAAATCCTGAGGTTCAAATTACGAATGTATATTTTTAACGACCATTATATGAAGGCTGTTAAAATTAAAAAAAAATATATGTGGAATTGAACTGAAATTTTTTTGCACGCATACCGAATAAAATTTTGGTGTTCCGTGGGATGCAAAACTGCGCAGCCCAGAAAATGAGCTAAACTGCCTGGATTATGTTTCAGTCATTGGTTACTATAATCTAGTGCAAAAAAAATAAAAAACAATCTAATGATATCTCACTCCTGTTAGAGAACATTGTTTGAGGCTTCAATCTAGTTTTAACATTATACTAGGCTCATAGGCTAAACTTTAATTATTTTCTAGATTGTGGTCGTTGCATATTTTTTGTGGTCCTCAATTTTGAGGATGTAGTACTCGAGTTTTGCCATCAAACTTAGACAAGCATATGGACAAGCATTAGACAAGCATATTGACAAGTGTCAACCAAATCATACCCGCACCGAAGTTTCATGGGTAATAATCGATTATAATGGATTTTCGTTGACTAAAATGTTGTCTATATAATCGATTATCATGTCAAATTTAGACCACGTAATCAATTTTTAATCGATTATAATCGATTATTTTGGAAAAACTTAAATCCATTATAATCCATTATAATCGATTATAATCCATTTTTTTTTATTTTCAATCTAATGGATTTTTTTGTACATAAAATCCATGAAAATTGATTCAATTTTGTAAATAATGACTCTAATTTTTGCAACTTTCTGCAAAACTCGAACGAACGCATTCATCCAGGGGCGGCCAATTTGTAGTAATTTTCCAAAAAGTGCCCAAAAACAGCATTTTTGACCAGATCCTCACGTCAACCCCCCGCCCCAACGTACCCCCCTCCCCAACGTACCCCCGCCAACATATCCCCCCCCCCCAACGTACCCCCCCCCAACGTAAACCCCCCTTCCCCCCAACGTATCCACCCCTCCCCCTCCTATGTAACACCCAACCAACGACGTACCCCCGTCACGTACTCCCATCCCCCCAACTTACCCCCTCCCAACGTATCCCCCCAAACGTACCCCCCTAACCCACGACGTACCCCCCCGCCCCCCAACGTACCCCATCCCCCCACGTAACCCCCAACCACGACGTACCCTCCCACTCTCTCTAGTTAGGGGACATATAACTGTAGTACGGGTAAGCATGGGGGGAGTTGGTGTGGGATCTATAGGTAAATTTTTGTAATTTTTCATAACTCGATTGAAAATAGGACAAAATGAAATTAAGCGAGAGAACAAAATAACTAACTTAAGTTTTACAAAGTTATGAAAAAATGAAAACTATGAAAAGCTTTGGATAAATAGATTAAAATCCATTATAATCGATTAAAATGGATTTATTTTTCTTTTGATAAAATTTTTTAAAAATAATCGGTTATAATCGATTATAATCGATTATATTGGGATTTTATTGCTTAAAAAATATTATCATTATAATCCATTTTCAATCGATTATAATCGATTATTTTTGTTATTTTGTAGAGACTGACAATGAAAATCCAATATAACCGATTATTATCCATGAAACTTCAGTGCGGGTAATTTACTAGCACTATTTTGGTGTTCCTTTACGCCATTCAATTTTAGTTAAGCACTCACACAATTTGTCTGAGAGCGCTTTGAGTGCCAATAATTCCTAGTTTAAGGGGATTGGATCCAAAGAAACAACATTTTTGTGGTTAACTTTTTTCAAAAGGCACAAAAACGGTCAGTTTTGTCCCCATGCATAAGATGAGAAAATTGCTTCATTGTTTCTTGAAAACTATAGTTGAGGGGTTCCTGAGATAATCTGCGTTTTATTGTAAAAAAAGCTTTTCTGTTTCACAGCTTATGATATGTCGCCATGCTAGACATTTTTACGAGCTCTACTGAAACTCAGATGGCTATGCAGCATAAACGAACAGTCTTGTTTTTACAGATAAAACTCACATTTTGAGCTGCATTTTTGACTTAGTTTTATGTACAGTGTGAAAAGTATTGATGTCGTGAGCTCAAAATTAAAAACATACTTTACTCATGCAAAAGTAAAAAACTTTCCTTTTCGGTCAGTTATGGGGAATTGTGAATCGCGGGATAAATGTTTTAGTTACTTTGGTGATAGTTGATAATTAATGCTCGCTTTTAAAAAAATTGTATACCGCTAATTTTGACCGACTCAGAATTGATTCGACCTTGAACTGAGGCGAGCAATTGACTCCAAATTTTATTTTAACTATGATTTTTCAATTCATCTAATTTTTTGCCAAAATTGCGTGAAACAATAAAGGAAAAACTTAGTATTCAAGATTGCACCCAGTTAGGAGCAGAACTTTCGAGTCTTTATGCCGACTGCACTAACTTTTTGAGTCGGTTAACGTTTCACACTGAGGATGTGTGTTGATGACACTGATCATGAATCCCTTGTAGTCGATGAGTGAAACAGCCGATCCTTTTCCACAGATAGAGTCAATTGAGCCGAAAGGGAACACTTTGTCCTCCAGCAGAAACCGATGGAAGAAGGATGACACTATCTTGTGTTTGGACAGAGTGAGAAGTCCAGAGCCAGGGAGAAAACCTGAAAACTTTTTGCAAGCTGAAGAACAATTTCGTTCACTCTGTGGTTGTGGAATATGTTTACATTCAGGAAAAGAAAAATGAAGACAATCAGATCAAAGAAAAGTTTTTGACTTGTTCTTTGCCGAAGAAATTTCTTAATAGATATATTGCACAAATTGGTTGCGTCTTGTCAATTCTATATGCAGGGGCGGATCTCGGGTTTTCTCGAAGGGGGCGGTATTCCAAAAAGTTTCGAAAATTTTGTCGACCTTTTTTTAGGTCGACCAAATTGATTTGCCGAGCTCTGACAAAGCACTAAAAAGACCTTGTTTTAGGCAAATTTTCTGCGCCGCAGGCAAATTGTTGAAAAAACAGGCCAAAAAATGCGTTTTTAGGCACTTTTTCTAAAATTTTTGACCAAAAAATTGCGGTTTTTCGGCGCGCGCTACCCCCTCAAAATTAGTATTGGCGCTTTTAGAAAAATTTTAGGGTGTGTAAAAATTGATATCTCAAAATAGTACAAAGGGGGACCCTTGGGGTCGGCAGGTGGTCAAATCCCTGAAAAGAAGCGTCCGCCTGAAAAGAATCGCAATAAGGATAATTTTGTTTGATTTTTATCCGAATTGTAATTTCCAGAAACAAATGACTGTATTACTCAGCGTTGCTCCAAAACAGCGCAAATGCTGAATCAGGAAAAAAATTCGAGATCCAGAACACTTTGTGGAATCCGTAAGCAAAAAAAACATATTCATGTGAGAAGAGTTGCGCTGTCGCAGAACCCGCAAACTTTAATCATACTCCACACATTGAAAGCAGTATCCGCAAAATGTAGGCAAAAACATCATTTTTTAGTAGAATTGTGTTGAAAGTTTCAGGTTGTATCATTTTTAGACAATGCAAGATTTTGCTGGATTTAGATTTTTATTAAAAAAAAAGAGACCGACTAAGTAGATATACTGATAAAATCGAATAAAATAACCATTTTTTGTTGAAAAAAAAGCTTTTTTCTCACTTGAAATTAGCATAACTAAAAACCTCAAACAATAATCTCATACCATGTGTTTTGGTTTTTTTCTTTAATTTTATTTTCGACGCAAAATTAGCTACCACAAATAAACATAGTTTGCTGGCTTACAGTTGCTCATTTCAGCTTATTTTAAACTGTGAAAATTTAGTTTTTTTCAGGTAAAATTAGTTTTTGGATTTTTCCAGCGCCAATTTGGGAATCAAAATCTTCAAAATTCAAAAAATTTCTGCAAAAGACTTTGAGAAAAATTTTGATAACTTTTTGAATTTTTTCCGCCCTCGTTTTTCCTTTTAGCTTCAGTGTCCTATTGTTCACTTTTGATATGGTTCCTGCTATCTTTTGCGGATTCCGCTACATTTCTATGATATAAGGTGTTTGTTTATGGATTCTGGAACAATTTGTCAAGTGGATTATGTTTAGAATTTAAGAAAATGCTTAACGACTTGTCTCTAGATTCCAGGAACCTACACTGTGCATCTACCAGAGACTGTTTGGCCTCGACGTGATTTCATGTTTTCATATAACTTTTCCTGTGAATTCCTGTTTTTTGAGTTGGTTTATAAACGTAGAAAACATCCGTTTTTTCTGTCCAATAGATGTTTTGGAACCAGGATATTCTCAAGGTTGAGTTTCAAAAAAGATTTCTCCTCAAAACCAATCTTATCGGCGTCAGAAAGCTTACAACACCCCAAGCTTTAATTTTGTGACCAAAAGCGCCTCTGACGTTTTTTTGTAAGTTTTTTTGTCAAAAACATCCGCTACTGATTTATATCACCTTCCAACCAAGCTTTGATTATTGTGCGACCATTTGAAGGTAGAGGAAGATTTTATTTGGGTGTGTTTTGGTTTTTTTCTTTAATTTTATTTTCGACGCAAAATTAGCTACCACAAATAAACATAGTTTGCTGGCTTACAGTTGCTCATTTCAGCTTATTTTAAACTGTGAAAATTTAGTTTTTTTCAGGTAAAATTAGTTTTTGGATTTTTCCAGCGCCAGTTTGGGAATCAAAATCTTCAAAATTCAAAAAACTTCTGCAAAAGATTTTGAGAAAGTTTTTGAAAACTTTTTAAATTTTTTCCGCCCTCGTTTTTCCTTTTAACTTCAGTGTCCTATTGTTCACTTTTGATATGGTTCCTGCTATCTTTTGCGGATTCCGCTACATTTCTATGATATAAGGTGTTTGTTTATGGATTCTGGAACAATTTGTCAAGTGAATTATGCTTAGAATTTAAGAGTATGCTTAACGACTTGCCTCTAAATTCCAGGAGCCTACACAAAACAATCTGTGCATGTACCAGAGACTGTTTGGTCTCGACGAGAGTTTATGTTTTCATAAAAATTTTCCCCTCCCTACTCCTCTGAGGATTGGAACCCTTGTCACCCGAGGGGTCTCTCTTTGTTACTATTTTAAGGCATCTTTTTTGGCCGACTGACCCTTAAAAATTTCTGAAAATTTCTGACGGCGCCAATATATACTAATTTTGAGGGCGACAAGTTTGTTTGCGGGGCAAAAATTTTTTGCTAAAAAAAGTTTTTTTTTGAAGTTTTTTGGATAGCTCATTTTGAAAAATCAATTCAGTCAACCTTCAAAAAATGGACGAAAAAAGTTTAAATTGATTTCAAGGATGAATTTATAGAACAGTTTTTGGGAATTTAAGCAAAATTTTAACATAGACCGAGAGCAAATGATCAGAACTGGCCAAAGCGAACTTACCAATTTTTGGATTCAAAGAACCACCAATTTTTTGAATTTTTTCAAGGATGTTTTTTTTTCGTTTTCTAGCCAATTTTCAAGAAAAACTGTTTTCCAGTTGGCCAATTTTTTTAATATTTGTCGAATATGCCTAAGCTCGGTCTTTTCGTTCAGATCTATTTATCACAAAACGCAGAACAAGCGCAACTTATTTGAAAAAAAAAAAACAATTTTTTTTTGTATTTTTCTTAAGCTATGGTCGGAACATTCTGTTGTTCTTGCACAGTAACCAGCCATCCTTGTTCTGTTGTGGGGATTAGCATAAACTTATTATAGTACAATTGTCGCAGAGTAATTTAACTATTACTGAAACTAAAACTCCTTTGTGTGAGGTGGGAGGGGATTTTTTTAAACAGGAGAATGGGCAAAGCCGTTAGCAAGTTAAATTTTTCTGTAAAAATGACCGTTGGATCGTCCCAAGATGTGTTAGTAGGTGGAAAAGGGACCGTTAATCAAATCCTGGGGTATACAAAAATGGTTGAAAAACTCCGCTTGAGTACCTGACGGAAACCATGCGTAAAAACTGTATTTCATGTTCAGCTGAGCCACAATTTCATTCTTGTGTTCTTCCATCCATACTTCCTGCAGACAAACTATGTCATAGTCATTGGCAAGGATGTTGTCGCAGATGTCGTTCAACCTAGAAATTAGAAATCGGCGCTCATTTGAATGCATACCGAGTTTAAGAATAAAATATCCTTAATAGAGGTATAGCCTCCTAAACGCGTTATTGGTATCAAGTTAAAGTAGAAAATACGCCAGTTTGTTAAACTTAACTCCAACCAACTTCGGTCTTGAATTTCACCCTGTAAAACTACTGGTCTACCCTCCCTACTCCTCTCAGGATTCGAACCCTTGCCACCCGAGGGGTCTCTCTTTGTTACTATTTTAAGGCATCTATTTTTGGCCGATCGACCCTTAGAAATTTCTTAAAATTTCTGACGGCGCGCCAACATATACTAATTTTGAGGGCGAAAAGTTTGCCGGCAAAAATTTTTTGCTAAATAGGTTTTTTTTAAAACTTTTTTTTGGATAGCTCATTTTGAAAAATCAATTCAGTCAACCTTCAAAAACATTAATTCAAAGATGATTTTAAAGAATAAACTTAAGAAAACTTTTAACATAGACCGAGGGCAAATGATCATAACTGTCCTCAGCGAAATTACCACATTTTGGTTTTACAGACTTACCAGTTTTTTCCGGGTCTGAAAATGCTAGTTTTCACCATCTGCATTCACCATTTGCTCTCGGTCTATGTAAAATTTTACTTAGTTTCCCTTAGAGTTTTGTCCAAAATCATCCTTGAAAACAAGCATTTTAGTGAGAAAAACTTGATTTTGCGTTTAATTTTGTCCAGTAGTGTATATAAAAGTCTGAACTACGTTCATCGACTCTTGAATACATAGCCAACACCCAGTTGGGAAAAGTCAATGAACGGAGACAAAAAAATGTCTTGTTCTTTGAAAAAAATCAACATCGAAAATCATATGGCCTGAAAGTTTTATGAATTATAAAAACAAACTAGTGAGGAAACTGCTTTGAAAAAGTAACCCCTTTTAAAATAAACGGACCAATAAGTAAATGTTTTGTTCTGCGGGGTAATGAAAAAGACATAATTTCGAAACTAAAAATTCATCACGTTCATCGTGACGTTTACACTTTTGCTGTTTGATAGTGGAGTGTGACTTGTTTTAAGCAATAGAAATAAAATGAATTCAAAAAGAAGAAATGCGATTAAATTTTAAAAATTTTCTTGATAAAATTAAGCAACAAATTATCACAATCAATATAAGAGTATTTTACGTTCATCAATTTTTATAAAACATAGCCAACAGGTGGTTGGCTGGAAAAGAGTCATTGAACATAAGAAAACAGAAAAAAAAAGTTGATATTTGAAAAAGTCAAATTTTAAATTTAAGAAGGATGGGCTTAAAACTCTTTGAATTTCAAGATCAGTATATGATCGACAATTTCATGTTAAAATTAACCCAGTTTGAGAAAACTTGGTTAACCGGTGAAATTTTTATTTCACTAAATATTAATATTTTTTAAAATTCGCAAATCACACTAAAAGTAAATTTTCAAAACTAGAAGTCCGCTACGTTTCTAACGACCTTTACTTTTTTCTCTATTTGATGATGGAGTTTACCATCCTTTCAACAAAATAAAAGAATTGAACTTGAAAAGAAATCAACTTTGGGTCTCTAATCGCATTAAACTGTAGAACTTTAGAGGGTGTAGGATCTACACATTGAACTAATATACTTCAATTTTTTAAGTTTTCAATTGTTCTGATCAATAAAGAAATCAATTTGCTAAAGGCCTAACTGGTCTCTTGACGACCCTCTATATCAAATGTACGAATGACTATCAAGATACCTTCATTGTAAAATGTTTTAAAAAACTCTAGCCGAAAGGGCGTTCATTGAATTGATTGTGAAATTTTTCTGAGCTTTGGGATCCGGATAATTTTCACTTCGATGAACTTCTATTGAAATTATGAAACAACAAAATATTAGATCTAAAAATAACCCGCTACAATGTCAAGCTAACAAAAAAATGCGTACATTTTTCTCGACTGATGTGAACTGTAATTTCAAATTTCAAAAAAAAATGGTCAAAATTTTTTACTAGTGTAGTTGAATGTTGATAATTTAGCTCATTTATTCAACGCTTGTTTGGTTTTTTGTAGTTCATTTATCCTGCTTCCATTCAGTTTCGTGTTAAACATTTTCCTAAGTAACTTCAGGTAAAATAAATTTTTATTACGATTTTGGACGATTGAAACAGTGTGCTTAGACTTTTT